TTGTATCGACAAAATGCGCCTGCCGCGGACTTATATAAGGATATCCGCTTTTGGCAGATTTTTTTGTCTTTGTCCCGGATTTTGACATTTTTGTGTATAAATATATTGCGTTTAGTCAAAAGTAACGTTAACCAAGCCGCTTGCCGCTGTTTAACCTTTCACAATTTCAATATTTAAGAGAAAGTTGGCACAACCATGCAGCTTAAAGCTTTGTTGAGATTTAAAAACTTTGATTGCAGAGTTCTATATTATTTTGAATATTTGAATTCAGTATTTTTCCGCAAGTTTTATTTCTTTAAAATATTTTCAAAAGGTGGCCCTACATGGTCCCCTGTTGCATAACACCATTCAAATAATAAATTATGGAAACACCGGTAATTTTTTACTTGGTAACAACAAAATGATTAGTTATTAATTTTGTTGTTACCAAGTAAATAATAAATTATGGAAACAGACCTGTAATTTTTTACCATGGTCTTGCATAGCAATATTATATTCAGGAGCTTTAAAGCCTGAATTATAGATTGCCTTCCTTCCTCCCGTAATCGAGGCCGTACGATTTGTGCGTCTTGTAAAAAGTCAATTTATAGATTTCCGTGTAAAATACCGTAACCATGCGCGATGACACCTAAAATGGTTGACATTTGTTTTTGTTTATATTCTGCGTTTTACCCATTGTGTGTAAATATGAAAGATAAACATTTATATATTAGTGCAGTGATCACAATTTTAATAGCCCAGGCAGCTTGTTGTATAATGAAAAAAAACATCGAACAAGACGTTGGGAGACTCGCCCACTTTACCAAGACCGGGAAACTACGGGGTTTTACAAAGCAACGTTTCTAAAAATAAAAGGCATTGATCATAAACAATATCTAAATATCCTATTTAGAGACACAAATTATTTAATAAACTGAACAACTATCTTACTACAGCGCATGTCCATAACAAGCACTGTCAGGGCCGGATTTAGGCATGGGCCACATGGGCCCGGGCCCAGGGCGGCAAATTTTTAGGGGCGGCAAATTTTGAAGGCCAGTTAAAATTTTGCTAAAAAATCAAGAGCGTTTTATGCAGAATTTTTGTTTTCACTCAGATTTATACACTAATTAAAACTATAAAAAGTTGGAAGAGAAGTTTTTTAATACATTAGATAATTTTATATCAGACTACACTATTATTCTGCGTAGAAGGGCGGCAGTCGATGTACACGAGGCGAGTGGGGCGCGACTCTAGCTTATTCGCTGAGTCATTCGTTATTCGGGGTAATGATGCGTTGGGCCCATGGGCGGCAAATTCGTAAATCCGGCCCTGAGCACTGTGATTGGTCATGTCAAAGACCTTTACGGTGAAAGATAAAACTTAAAAATTTCTACGGGAGGAAGGAATGCCGTCCTTACGGTACGAGAATCTATAAATGGCACTACGATTTAAATAAACATTTTTGACGTAATTGTCACAATTAACTTTGCCCGTTATTAATTTTAATTAAACTTAACATTTATTGATACTTTCACAATCCACACAACAAGGTCTGTTCTATCTCGTACTAAAAATACAAAAAATCACTGCAACACTGCACAGTTTAACGGCAGCCATTTTTGTTTACAATTTTTGTGCTTTGGGTTTGTGCTCTGTTTATACAGATTAATAATCGTTTTAAACGTGTTTCTCGTAGTAAGCCTTAAAAGAGTTCTTAAAGTGCTAAGAACAACCATTTTACTCCTCTATTGTAAAAAATAATAGTATATTCTGTAACAAGTTTGGAATTAATACAGCATATTCCGCTCGAGTGAAGAGTTTGTCACACGAGCCGAAGGCGAGTTTGACGGAATATGCAATTCCAATTCCATTTCATTCTGTAACACTTTACGGAATATATGTCATTCCATAGACAAAAGTGATATTAGAACGGTCAAATTCCGTAATAGGAGTAGAAAAACATTATTCTATCAGGGCTGTCATAAAACTGTCAAATGTCAATTTTAAGGTTAAATTATAACCCAAAAATTAACCTTCAAATTGTCATTTGTCAGCCCTGATAGAATAAGGTATATTTATTATAAAAGAGGAGTAAAATGGTTGTCCTTAGCACTTAAAGGCCTTATTTGAGGCTTACAAGTGCCTCTGTAAGAAACAAAACGTTTAAAACAATTATTAAACAGCACAAACCCAAAGCACAAGAATTGTAAACAACAAAAATGGCCGCTTTTAAACTCTGTGCAGTGTTGCAGTGATTTTTAGTATTTTTAGCATGAGATAGAACAGACCTTGTTGTGTGGATTGTGGATACTTTAAAATATTAAAATAACTTCAAAATATGATTTTGTTCAGAAAATATTTTATCCTTTGATTTTTTTATTACTATAATTGCAAAATATTATCACAAAGCATTAAAAATTCTTACACGGGAAATGTTAATGATGACAATTACGTCAAAAATGTTTATTGGGTTTTGTATTGTTCATCTTCTACGGGAGGAAGGAAGGAAGGAAGGAAGGAAGGAAGGAAGGAAGGAAGGAAGGAAGAAAGGCAATCTATAATTCAGGCTTAACTCCGCATTGACATTTTATAGGTTAATTTTAAATTAACCTATAAAATGTCAATTATTAAGAAGGTGGAAATAATAGTTATTTACGTGTCAAGCTTGAAGTGTAAACTAATCTTTACAGTCGAGCTGAAAGTTTGTGGGTGAGCGACGCAGGAGCAAGCTCCATAATTCAGTGAGCCTGATTAATTGCAAAGCGCGACACAGTTCATTTTTTTTATCTGGACTCAGGTTGGTGGCTTATGAAAGTTTTACTTAGTATTTTTAGTATTTAAAAATGGTACTTCTGCTAAAAAATTTAATTAAACACTTTGACACTGTCAAATTGACAATAATATTTATTATTAATAATTTACTTGTCAATTATAAATAAAAAGAAAATTATGCCAAAAATAATAGCAACGAATTCGAATGAAAAAGCCCTTTTGAGGGCAAAACTTCATTTTGATGAAATTATGCCAAATGCCACAATGGAACAAAAAGTACATCACCTTTTGGACATTTTTGTAGTAAAAAAATAACGAATTTGGTTTTATAAATATTACATCACACATTATTTGCACATTATTTACCATTGGACAACATTTACGTTCACAAAAAATTTTAATTTCTTTTATATAGGTATGTAAATTCTTTTCAAATCGAAGATTATTATCCGCTAGGAAAACTTTCTCTTCTGGGCCGTAAAGCAATCTATATTTAACTACTTTTTTTATAGGATTTTACTAATCCAAGCACCACCAAAGCCAAATTAATTGCATTTTTAACCACGAATTTCGACAACTCAACTTGACAACTGCACAATGTAACCTACAAAAATTTATACATAACCACAATTAGATTTATAACTAGCTTAGTTTGTTTTAATCAATGCGACCAACTTGACAACTGTATTTACCAACCAAAACTCTAAATTTGCAACGTTGCCGCAGTCCAGATAAAAAAAATGAACTTTACAAACTTTTATTTTCACCTTCACATGGCGATTTTTAAATTAAAAATTTAAATTAATTTACCCTATTTTCACCTTCTTAGTAATTTTGTTGTAACCAATTAAACGATTAATTATGGGAACAGACCTGTAATTTGCTTTTCTACAAGCCTGTTAAATTTTGCAGGTCTTTTATACAACTCCGTTAAAAGTTATATCTGTTCCAATAATCACAGAACATTATTTACCTGTTCCCATAATCAAAGAACATAATTTATCGTTTACTTGGTTATAAAAAAAATTATTTACTTTGTTACAAAAACAACAAAATTAATCTATAAAATGTCATTTACCAAGAAGGTGGAAATAAAAAATTTAAATGATTTTTGTGTTTGCCTACGTAAGAAAATAATAACTAGGTACCTATCTCGGCATGTAATCCAATTAACTTCTTACTACATGTTAAACTACTTAATTCGCACTTTTTAATTAATTCATCGATATCATGATAAATGCATTCAACTATAAATAGGTAGGTAGGTAGGTACCTAGTTGTCAACTAGGTACTTCAATTGCGAACTTTAATGTTCGAAAACTGAAAACTACTTGTTACCAAGTCTATTATAAATTTAATAGTTGCTCAAAGAACTTAAATGTCTAGGAAGTCCTGAAAATTTTGCATGTTATTAGTTAATTAAAATTATCGCGTAGGTGTAAACATTTATTTATTTTTTCATACTGCAGCGGTTTTTTTATATTTGCGACTTAAATTTACTATAAAAATTAATTAAATCAAGTAAATTAACTATAGAAAGTAAAGTCGAAAATATAAAATGTGGATGACATTAAATAGGTACTGTAGTATACTTGGGCGTATAAAATATTATTATGTTATGGCGCGAAAATGGTTATTTATTTTAAATAAAATCTTTAAAATCAAAATATGACGAACGTTTTGTCTTGGTAGACGCACAAAAATAAATTAAACAAATATTGAGGCGCATGTAGTGTAAATAATGCAGTAGGTTATTATTACAGAGTCGGACAGTTTTGTAGGTGTCGCAGGACTGCCGCACCCGCACAAAAGCGATAGGCGGCCGAAGACGACGCATCGCGCCGTTAAACCGCGTGCGAAAAGCTGGCTCATCCGGCGCTTGACGCATTGCAGGTAGATGCCGACCAATGGGAACGCGCGCTGCTCGAGTATACGTTGTAAACAAGCCGCACCCGACATTCAAACATCCAAATTCGTGCGCCACGAAAAGTAGTTCGCAATTTTTGTTCGTGAACATTTTTGTGCGATTGCGATTGTTGTTTTTGAGGGCGAATAAACGAATATCGGGTCGAGTTTTTCGCTTTCGAGGGTTTGCGAAAAGAGTTTTGTCGTGAAGTAGGTGTAACTGGGTGTAGGAATATTTACTGGTTTATGTCGTAGCCGCACTATTGCGCTTTGGCGGTAGTGGTTTCGCAGCAGAATCCCCTCCCTTCCCCGCCGTCGCTGTTCCTAAACAAAACGAGAAAAGACAGTTGGCTGGTGCACTTTGGCGTGTTACGTTGTCAGTGAATTTGTTGTGTCGACATTTTCGTATAGTGTACCTTTAAATCTTAAAATATCGAAATGGTGAGTGTATATTTTGAGTCATCGCTATGTTCAAATGTTTCATTGTTATTTTTGGCAGTTTTTAACAATGATATATTTAGAAAACTGATTGATATTGGTTTGTAAATAGCTGTCAAAGACGAAGTTTCCGTTAGCCGGTCAAAAATTTTACCGCAATGCGCAATTATTTCAGTGTTAGTTTCGGAAATAGTGAATTTATTATACGAAATAAAACTGTTGACAAATTTTCTGATCCAGTCTATCGATCTGTTGCACGTTAGTGAAACAAATTGCAAATTGGATTATTTACCCTAACGGATTTGCATTACATAAAATAACGTATTTTAGGCTGACCAACTCACCGAAGAACAAATTGCCGAATTCAAAGAGGCATTCTCGTTGTTTGACAAAGACGGAGATGGTACTATCACAACCAAAGAATTAGGAACTGTAATGAGATCTTTAGGGCAGAATCCTACAGAAGCTGAACTACAGGATATGATCAATGAAGTAGATGCTGATGGTATGTAAATTATTCCCCAGGTTAGGGAAACTTAATTAAAATAACATACCTACCTAACCTAATTACATTAGCTAACTTATTTCCAATACATAGAAATTTGTTCAAAGGAAATTGCATTCAGGGCTAAATCAAATAAAAACTTGCCTAAACATGTTTGCATTATTTAAATTAGGTTTAAACCGTTCATAGGAATTAAAAAAATGTTGATAGCAGTTTTCATGGAAAACTATAGTTTCCATCTATAGATACAAATGCAAATTGTTGATACTGTAAACATTTTTTAATGGCTCAGTTTGTTGTATTAATACTTTATATAAGTTATTGAGTCATTTGTTAATTTAGCACAGATGTTAATTTTTTGTGTAAATTTGCTGTCTGGAATTTTACAATTATGTTTTTGAGAGATAAGATTACATGGATAAATTGATTTTTACTTTATTTTAAGTTGCTATTGGGTATAAAACAGTGACATATTTTATCAGATAAAAATAAGGTCGATCAAGTTTCTGTGTAATCCATGTTACATTATTATTACAGATAAATAATGATTAATATCCAAGTGCCAAAGTTTGATTTGCATGGGGCTGTGAAAATATTTCAAAAACAAATTTTTAAAAGAGTTGTTTTGTATTCACAAAATGTTTGTTTTGAATAAGTAAACAACAGTCTGGACATACATAAAAACATTGCGTCCTCGTATTTTGGCAATTTTAAAATGTTAGTGTAGGAGCTTCAAAAAATATTTATAACAAATTTAGAATCATAGATGTTAGGTTGTATTACTGTAATAAAATCATTAAGTGCGGCAAATTTAAATACATAGTGTATTTTTAAAGTTTTATGTGAAATCTATTTAAAAATTAATCATTGTTTTTTAAGGTTTTTAATTTTCGATATTTTCATTTAAAATACCGCTTCCATTATCAAATACCTCGTTATCGTGCACGTCATTACTACTACTTTTAAATACTTTTTAATTTTAATCTATGATCTTTTATTTTTAGTCTACTGATAAAAAATCGCACTAATTATAATTATTTTAATTAGTCACTGTTTAGTAACTTCCATATTTCCTCTTGCGAAATATTTAATAAATTAGTCATAATATTTTAGACAGACCAAAATATCCTTTAGTTATACATACATAAATAGGTTTTATCATCAAAAACACATCACACTTTTGACAAAATGGACCAAAAAGTTGTCTAAAAATAAAAGATAAAACAATTATCTTCGCCGACTATCTCTACTGATATGATTCTTGAATGGTTGGAAACAAAATCAGTTAGATGTTTGCTGTAAGGTCTAGAAACGGCCTTGACAAAAACAATTCGATTTTTTTGCCCATCTAAAGGCGTTACTCCCAAACCATGTAGGTAGCTGAAGAACTGATTTGAATAATTTAACGCTTATTAAGTACCTACATTATATTATATGTATGCTAAAACAAGCCAAATTCCCTTACTATGGATTTTATTTGTAGAATAACTAGAACGGAATTGATGTTTTAAAATTGAACTAAATGAGCTTTTTTATATTTTTAAAAAATATTTTGTCTTACAAGTTTTCTTCATAAAAGTATTTTGTAGGTACATAAAACTATTAAAAAAATGATTTTAAAACTTTGGTAAATGACTTTAACCTTCTAATAACTTTAAAACTATCAAGTTTCAAAGTTATTGAACATAGTCATACATAATTAATCCATATGGTATAACCTGGTAACAAAACTAGTTACTTTTTAAAGAATAAAAATACTACATAATATTAAATGGAGTTGGTTTTTCTGATTTAGCTTTAAATTTTAGAAAAAGTTTAAAAAAAATAATATTTTTAAATATTCAAAAATTATTGGTAAAAAATAACAAAAACTATTGAAATTATTTTTTTGATACATCGTATCGAACGATAATCAATAATCATATATCGAAAAAAATATATCGATAAATTTACTATTTCAAGTACTTTTTGTACAATAACTTTTTTGGTATTTTAGACTTTATTTTTGATATAAAAGCTTTATTAATGAAAATGTAAATTTTAGTTTCAATAAAAAAATGTAAGAAATTTATTTAACTAACCAAAATAATATAATTTATTACAAAAAACGATTATTATTAAATATTAGGTACCTACATATTTAATATGAACAGAAAATATTAGGGATGCACCGGAATTCCGGCGGTACCACTAAATCCGGCCGATCCGGCCAGTTGGCCGGAACTACCGTTCCGGCCGGATCGCTTTCCGGCCGGAATTTTCGGAACTTTTTGGAAATGTTTAAGTTTTAAATTTTTAATATAATTTAAATTCAAATACTTATTATTTTAAGGTTTTTTTTAATTGGTGCCCACTTACCTATTGTTAAGTCGTTAATTAATCACAAATAATTTTGTTTTGAACAAAATATATTTTCTTTCCAAAAATTACATAACATAAATGATAACTGGAAACATTATTAACAGCCAAATTCTAACAGCAAAAATAACAGCCAAATTCCCTGTCATGGATAAGTTTTATAAGATAAGTATATGTATACTTAACTGTACAGTTTACATGAAAAATTAGAGTGAGAAACTTAAGTTAATTAGATCAGGAAATTAGTAAAACAGTAATTTCTATCTAGGTAAAATTAATAGTAATAAACACTCTGCATACTGTAGCTAGTTTTAAAAAAAAGTAAAAATAAATCAGCCTCGATATTTTCAATGTTTTACGTATAAAAATAGGCATGCACATACATTTTAAATTTAGGTCCCGATCCGGCCGGAATTCCGGCGATCCGGTCCGGCCAGCGGCCGAAATTCCGGTTCCGGCCGGATCGGCAAAATACCCGATCCGGTGCATCCCTAGAAAATATATACATATGTACCTATTTCTATTAAAATTTTCAATCAACGCTATTACTACACCTTTTAATTAAGGTTAAGACAAGCTGCTTATAAAAAACGGTTAAATTATAAAAAAAACTAATGAAAAAATATATAGTTTTTTATATCAATAATTTTATATTGATATATCGTTGCCATCCCTACTACTAAATCGTTTTAAAATATGTTTTGCCAAATTTTTACAAACATGTCCTATAAACAGTTATTTATTAAATCTAAAGCCATTTATAAATAATTGGTCCCTTTCTGTAGATATTATTCAGGCTATTGACTTTTTAAAGCCATTTATATCTACTGAAATTTTTTATTAGATCTTGCTTTTTGTGGTCCTTTTTTCAATTTTCAACATTTGCGTAATGTACCTACTTAGAAAGTAAGTACTTAAGTAGGGTTGTTTTAGTATCAAAACCCAAAAAGTTATTTACATGTCAAAGTCGAAGAAGAAGACATTTTAAAAAAATGTTAAAAATTTTACTCTGAAATGATATTACTAATTTCTGTATGAAAAATAAATAGCTTCTTGAAATGATTTGTCTAATTCTAGACACCGGTATATTAAAAACAACAGGTAAACATGACACTTTTTTTCGCCTGTGTAATTTTCTGTATTTTTATTTAAATGTGCAATTTCTATACAATCGTATATATATATTTATATATAATATATTTATCTTTTATATCACATATTCAAAATTTTCTTTGGCACTGTCCAATACAGGGCTCCCACACCTCCTAAAACTCATAAAATTCCTAAAATTTGGCTTAAATCTTGAAAACTCCTAAAATTCTCCTAAAATTGCATTCAATCTTCTAAAACTCCTAAAAATTAAATTTAAATAGGCCAACCTTACTGCGTTTAATTAAGGTAGTTGTCGCGCTAAAAAATTCTTTTTTAAAAAGTAATTTAAAAATATATATTTTCAGGTTCTATTTTATTAAATTCTTTTTAAAATGATATATCACAACCAAAATTTTTCTTAAAAAAACAACAAAAAAAACTTCTACAAAATTGTCATTTTTAGCCATATTTCGTTTGTTTTATACAAAAATATACCGTGTTATAACATATGTATATCAAACAAAAGGATTTTTAATTTTCTTTTAAATGACAGGTAAAATAGTAAACAATCTAAAGATGTTTTGCTGTATTTTGCAAACTTCATATTTTGTTATGAGGTTTTTTTAAGTATTAAGATCCACATTACAATTGAATCGACGAGAATAAGAACATTACAAGTCCACAAATTTAATTTTGACAATTTATTTTCTAAAATAAATTTTAAAATTTAAAATACATTTTTGTGAGAAGATATAAATTATTTTACAGAGTATGAATATTATATTTTAGTTGAAATATTTTAACAAAAGTGCATTTTACTTTTGGACTTGTACTATTCTTTATCTTACCGATTCAATTATTATTAATTACTTGTTAACTAAACAGATAACATATTTTTTCTTAAAATATAAATATCATTTGATTTTGGCCTAGTTTTTTATCCAAATCTATCGACGCATTTTTTTAAATAAAATTAAAAGTGTGGTGAAATTTATACTTGTACCTCAGATATATACAAAAGTAGTAATTTTACCTCACTATTAATTTTATTTAAAAAAACTCGTCGAGCGATTTGGCTAAAAAACTAGTCAATATAACTTTTTTCTTATTTTTTAAGTAGTAAAGAGTTGTTTTTATTTAATTAAAGAAATTCATTTCCACACTTTTTTTCTCCTAAAATTTTACAAAAAACCTCCTATATTCCTAAATAAAATTTGTAATTTAGCCGTGGGAGCCCTGCCAATAACAACTTCATCAAGACTAGTTAAAGAACTTGATAAATGTGCCCTGTGTATCTCACAACTTTAAAAGCAACGAAAAAATCCTTATAGTGACTGTGACTAGTGGCAAAATATAGTAAATTTAAATGTAAACTACGTACACGTCATCAATCAGCTGATCGGGCACGGTTGTCAATGTGATGCTAAAATCCTTGCATCGAGGGAAAGTGGTAGTGCAACTACAGCGCGATAGATGGCGTTTACATGAATAATACCAAAATGTCAAAAGTCTGAGTTTTTATAACCTATATGATGCACCGCCAAAAGTATGTTTTTAGCCATTTTTAAAGACATTTTCTGATATATAACCCAAAAATTTTGCCACCTAAAGTCAGACTCTGGTATATATATTATTATTTTATGTATCCAACATATATTTTGTTAAATATTCTAATAATAATTAATAATAATCCTATTTACCTCTCTAACAGCTGTTAAAGGTAACAAAGGTCCATTATTATCCCTTTCTGCCTCAAAATAGCGTATTAAGGATGACAACAACTCTTGACTCCGACTATTTAAATGCTTGGGCATTTTAAATATAGGAAACACAAAAAAAAACGATATATAACAAACACAAAAACGGCAATGAAAACTTAAACGATATAAAATAACACAAACAACAAACAAAATAAACGAAATAATACACGAATTAAACGAAATATTCAAAAACACAACTGACAGCTTCGAAATTCTAAAACGTCAAATTCTTTTTTATGTGTCATTTAAATATGAAATATTTGAATGTAAATATGACAACATCTTAATTGTTGCCAACTGAAGATGTTTAAAATGCATTCAAATATTCAATTACAGACTTTGATTTAGTCATTTAGTGTTAGTACCAATGCGTAAAATTTTTGTTTTATTGATGACGTGTACGTAGTTTACTTTTAAATTTACTATACAAAAATAAACAGGAAAAACAAGTTGTTACGTTAAGGTTATTGTGTTTAGGCAACGGCACAATCGATTTTCCTGAATTCTTGACGATGATGGCCAGAAAAATGAAGGACACAGACAGCGAGGAGGAGATTCGCGAGGCATTCCGGGTGTTCGACAAAGACGGCAACGGTTTCATTTCGGCAGCGGAACTGCGTCACGTGATGACCAACTTGGGCGAAAAATTAACGGACGAAGAGGTGGACGAAATGATCAGGGAGGCCGACATCGACGGCGACGGTCAAGTCAATTACGAAGGTACGTTAACACTATTTGTTTGCCAACCCCTCATTTTATTATTATTAGGTCCCCTCATATTATAAGTATTCGCCTTTAGGAAATAGTTGGCGCCGGTTTTAGGTAACACCTGGACAATATTTTATATCCATTTCAAAAAATTTAATAACGGACAAACTTTTTAGTTTTTGTGCATTTTAGATTTTTGTTTTTTTTTAATTTCTTATACACTGCCCGTCAAAATTAACGCATAATAAGTAAAAAAAATTCTAACTCTGAAACGCCTTTGCCAATCTTCATAAAATTTTGGATAAAAATACTTAACTTATATCTCAGTTTACGTTTTCAAGGGTTTTTCGAAAAAATATCCTTAAAGCCCTTTTATTCATATATTATATCACGAGAACTATGAATTTAATCTGTTAAACTAGGCTCAGTAGTTTTTTGTTTGGTTTTTCTTGGAAAATGTTGAATGCAAAATAATTTTTTATTTTTAATTATTTTGCATGAAACTATTTTCCAAAAAGAAAAATCAAATAAAAAACTTACTGAGCATAGTTTGACAGATTAAATTTATAGGTTGAGTGATATATGTCTAGATTTTTTCTCGAATTAAAGGAAACTATTTGACAATTCATAAAATCTGACGTATGTGTCAAAATTTATAAATATTTTTTTAAAGAAAATTCCATTAATTTAAGGTATGTAATAAGTAATAATTGATATTTGCTTAAACTAAATAACTTATTTTTTATTGTTTTTTAAAAAATGTTTGTTAAAACTTCTAAATAACACCATAAAATCGTAAACAAAAATCCAATATGGAGGCTAAAATTTAATCGCTGTTAAATAGTTCTAGTGATTTAATCGCTTATTTAAACGAAATTTATTCGAGAATTCAAGGCTTTTGATTGTTTCTTATTATGAGGGAAATAATCAATATTAAAAAAAACGCTCGAAAAAAAACTTTTATAGAGAATTTTTTTTAAGTAAATAAAAAATATGCTGTTAAATACCGTATTTTTGTTAGTATACCCTAAAAATTTTGTACAAATCAAACGAACAGTAACGAAAATACACCGCTTCAAAGTCGGTAAAAATGACCACTTTTCAGCAAAATAATCAAAAAGGGGTCATTTTTACCGACTTTGAAGCGCTGTATCTTTGTTACTGTTCGTTTGATTGTACAAAATTTTCAGGGTATACTAACAAAAATACGATATTTAACAGCATATTTTTTATTTATTAAAAAAAAATCCCTATAAAAATTTTTCGAGCGTTTTTTAATATTAAATAAAAGGGCTTTAAAAATATTTTCTCGAAAAACCCTCGAACACGTAAACTGAGATATAAGTTGAAGTATTCTTATACAAAATTTTATAAAGGTTGGTAAAGGCGTTTTAGAGTTCGAATTTTTTTACTTAATATGCGTTAATTTTGACGCGCAGTGTATTTGGATAACGCTCATTGAAAATGAACCAAGCGCCAAAAACTTGATAAAATTATTTGTAAAATAACTCATATTTAATAATGCTCAAAAGGTTAATCGTCATTTGGAACTTTTCTCGAAAGGATTGAGAAGGATCCCAAATAATTATTAATTTTTTGAGCAGCATTAAAAATGAGTTATTTTGAAAATAATTTTGTTTACACCACAATCCACATAACAAGGTCTGTTCTATCTCATGCCAAAAATACTAAAAATCACTGCAACACTGCACAGAGTTTAACGGTGGCCATTTTTGTTGTTTACAATTCTTGTGTTTTGGGTTTGTGCTGTTTAATAATTGTTTTAAACGTTGTGTTTCTTACAGAGGCACTTCTAAGCCTCAAATAAGGCCTTTAAGTGCTAAGGACAACCATTTTACTCCTCTTTTATAATAAATATACCTTATTCTATCAGGGCTGTCAAATGACAATTTGAAGGTTAATTTGTGGGTTATAATTTAACCTTAAAATTGACATTTGACAGTTTTATGACAGTCCTGATAGAATAAAGTTTATTTTTTACAATAGAGGAGTAAAATGGTTGTTCTTAGCACTTTAAGGACTCTTTTAAGGCTTACTATGAGAAACACAACGTTTAAAACGATTATTAATCTGTATAAACAGAGCACAAACCCAAAGTACAAAAATTGTAAACAACAAAAATTGCCGCCGTTAAACTGTGCAGTGTTGCAGTGATTTTTTGTATTTTTAGTACGAGATAGAACAGACCTTGTTGTGTGGATTGTGGTTTACACCAGAAAAAGTTTTTGGTTCCTTTTCGATAAACGCTATCCATTTATGTTTCCGTAAGGGTGTAAAAAATTGTTGGAAAGCTCAAAAAGAAATAACTCATTTTTAAATTTTGTAGTAATTTACTTAAAATGTAATGGTCAGTTTATAAACTGACTATTGCATTTTAAGACGAGGTTAAATTACGTATACACAGTGTCACAAAATTGATAAATTCGTCTTGTAATTCCAAGACAACTTTTCCTATACCTACCATTTTTTTAAATTCCTAATATTGCAGTAGGTATTTAATTTTTAAAGCCGCTGTATTATTAAATTGTAATCAGCGGATCGTCCGATAGAGCAGAAATAAGCCTTCGAGTCTCCAATTTTGGGACACCCTGTATATGTTTATGTACGTACTATACTCTGTCCATTTAAGCAATAAAGCCCATCAGTACAATTAAAACATATTTTTTTTTAGTTGTTAAAATTGTTTTGATGGGCTTGATTGCTTAAATGGATAGAGTACTAGTATAAGCTCTGCATTAAAAAGTCCCACTTTGACATTTGAATAAGGAATGCAGTCAAATAATTCAGGTTATGTATCTGTCAGTCACATTAAATTAAGCCCTTTATCCATTACTAAAAACCGAATATTAAGTTTAGCCAAGAAGTTTTTAAAATTTTTTAAAAAATAAATATTTTTTTATAACCCTGTTTCTCGAAAACGAAGCTTTAAAACACAAGTTTATATAAACTTTTCATCTTATTTTACGAGTTCTCTCGACTACTAAATTTTTTCGATTAATATCGTATTATTTTCAGACGAAATTGGCGTTAAACTGATAAAATTATACCTCAATTATTTGACTGCCTAATACAGTTTGCATTCCTTATCTATTCCTTATCTATATCAAATGTCAAAGTGGGACTTTTTGATGGGGAGCATAGTTAATAGATTTAGATATTTCAAACACCTATTACCCTAAAGGGTACTAAAAATAACAAAATTGTTGCATAGATTATGGAGATACCAAAATTATTTGAACATTCAATGAATGTTGTTATGGTATCAGCCAACACAAATATTTACATGAAATTAGTTTGCCAACAATTTATGTGTTAGCATAAAAGTCATTGTACTAGTTTTTTACAATTGGATTAGCCAAAACTTAGCGATATTGATTAGATTGAGTTTTTGACAAAATATCGTAAGTGACAACTTTGTTTATCAATTTATAAGCTTTTAGTTGATAACAATCAATTAAAAACTTTTAAAAATCATTGATAAAAGTATGGTTTAAAAGGTATTTTTAACAAAACAGTTTTAAGCTTACCATATTTTTTAAACTCGTCAATTTTCTTTTCTTTCATTCTTGAGATTGTCTAAACTTTTTTGATATACTATTGCATATTTTCTCTTTTATTTTTTTACCCAAGTAATGAAAAATGAATGTACATGTAGTGGGTAATTAAAAAGTAGACCAGGAAGTTATGACTGGTAGTATTCCTTTGCAGATTTCCGAGCTCTAGCTCTCATAGTTTTCAATCGGTACCCAACCACACATGCTTCGAGCTGGTCAGTTTGTAGTGTTTTTTGGGAATGTGCTTAGTGGCATGACTATTAATTTGTAATTTGGGTGGCCTAAATATTGACGGCAACCTCAAATTCTAAAATGGAACAGAATAGCTTTAAATTTGGCATACATTTTTTAAAACTTACGAATTTCTTAAGATGCAATAATTATTATAATTACTTTCCACATTATTTATGGAAAAAGTTGTTTAATATTTAAACCTATAAGTTTTTCAAATACTTTAGTGTCCATTTTTTATATTAAATTCGATCTTTTTATGGTTTAGTTTAGTTTTGTCTTAAATCTAGGCTAAATATACAAGGTGCATCAAGTTTCCTTCTATGTATCTTTTATTTGAAGAGCTACAAGGTCGGTCAAATTTGACAGAAGTTGCTTAATTAAAAGTTTACTAAAATGGCATTTAAAAATTGGATACAAAAATCAGCTGTTCTCAAATAATTAAAAAACTGAAATCCTGTCAAAACCAAAAATGTTTATAACTTCGTTATTACTGTAAGTTTAAAAAAAGTAACTTTTACATGTAAACATACACATTTATCTACAGTTAATTTTTTTTGGACTCGTGTTTTTTATTAAGTTGGTAGCTTATGCCAGTTTGATTAAGTATTTTTAGTATTTAAAAAATGGTACTTCTGCTGAAGACCTCAATTAAATACTCTGACACTGTCAAATTGAGAGTAATATTTATTATTAATAATTTAATTGTTAATTAGGTATTTTATAATATCGATATAAAAAGATAACCATGCCAAAAATAACATCAGATTCTAAAGTAGAGAACTTTTAAGGGCAAAACTTCATTTTGATGAAGTTATGTCAAATGCCTCAATGGCCGCAGAACAGATAAAAAAAATTAACTTTGTATTTTCATCCAATTTATGATGAAAATGAAAATTAATGTGTTAACATGTAAAACTTACTTTTCTTCAAAATTCCCAGGAATAATAAAGTTTTAACGATTTTTTGTTGTAAGAGATTTTTAGTTTTTTTTTATATTTTGAAAACCGCTGTTTTTATTTCAATTTAGAAGGCTTGTAATTAAGCAACTTTTCTTTAATTTAACCGACCTTTCAGCTCTACAAATAAAAAAATACCTATAGAAGTATATACATAGAAGGATGCTTGGTGCACCCTGTATATAAATATGTCTTTTTCATTTTGGGAAATAATCAAGGGGTGCCGTAAATTTGGATTATCCTGTATCGTACCGTTTGTCGTTGTCGCATCGAACTTAGTTCAACACCGCTAAAATGCTAATTAATTTTTAGTCGAGCAATGTACAAATAATTGCCTTCACATATTTTATATGTTTACCTACCTATATGCGTAGCATTTAGCAATTTGTGTTTGTTCGGTTGGTATTTGAACCGGCTAATTTACGTACGTATGTTTACCTGCATGGCTGCACTCGTATTAGTAGGATTCCATAACAAAATATTTAATTAGTTTGGTTTAAAGCTCAAATTCAAAAAGTTCATTGAAAAATCTAATTTGTTCCGCAATTTTGAACTAAATTAGGTTTCTAAAAATGTTGTGGATATACATTTTTCGTTTAATTTAAAATTGTTAGCATTTTATAATGAGGTGTGTATACTTAGTACTATCTTTAAAAAATTGTGGCACTATCTTTATGCTTTTGATGTTAATTGTTTGCTCGTTATGATGAGTAATAAAAAGCAAATTAAAACTCCCCACGGAAAACGGTTGAAACTATCGAAAAACAGTGGTTTCCGTCGGGAGCGAATAAAAAGCACATTTCCAAAAAATGACGACTGCATAATTTTAATTAAAACTTTGTACTAACCTTCCCCAAATTAAAGTGTATGTTTGTAATTGTTTAATGTTGTAGTTATTAATACCTTAACAAACATACATATGTATAACGTTTATTGGCGAATTATTAATTTGGCTCGTTTAATAATTAATGCACCTCTACGTATTTTCAACATTCCCGTGTTGAAGCTGTAAATTTTAGGCTAATAAATGTTCGAAAGGACATTTTACGGCCTTAGCATATCTGGTAAATCAATAACGTGCAGGTCAGTTATTTGGAATTTTTAGTTCTGACCTGTGCGGTGAATATCAAATACGTTTTAGCAGATTAACATTTCATTGACTATGGTGCTTTAGTTTTTAAATGAATGAATAATAAAAATATAGTCCAGTTAAACTGTATATTTAAATTTACATTAAATCTAAAACGATTTCTCCTTACCCTCAGGTTCGTTAAAACTACACTGCACGTCAAAATTAACGCATAACAAGTAAAAAAAAATCCAACTCTAAAACGCCTTTACCAATCTTTATAAAATTTTGTATAAAAATACTTCAACTTATATCTCAGTTTACGTGTTCAAGGGTTTTTCGACAAAATAGCCTTAAAGCCCTTTTATTTAATAATAAAAAATGCTCGAAAAAAAACTTATAAATAAATTTATTTTTAAGTAAATAAAAAATATGTTGTGAAAGACCGTATTTTTGTTAGTACTTATACCCTAAAAATTGTGTACAAATCAAACGAACAGTATCGAAAATACACCGCTTCAATGTCGTCAAAAATGACCACTTTTCAGCAAAATAATCAAAAAGGGGTCATTTTTACCGACTTTGAAGCGCTGTATCTTCGTTGATGTTCGTTTGATTTGTTCAAAATTTTCAGGGTATACTAACGAAAATACGGTCTTTAACAGCATATTTTTTATTTACTTAAAAAAATTCCTTAAAGTTATTTTTGAACGTTTTTTTAATTATTAAATAAATGAGCTTTAAAAATAGTTTCTCGAAAAACCCTCGAACACGTAAACTGAGGTATAAGTTAAAAAAGTATTTTTATAAAAAATTTCATAAAGATTGGTAAAGGCGTTTTAGAGTTAAAATTTTTTAACTTATTATGCGTTAATTTTGACGGGCAGTTTTATGGAAAATTAACAAATTAAATATTTTGGGATTTTGGGTTGTGATCATGTTACCTATATTAGGATACTATATTAGGATACTTAATTGTTTTATTTAATACATTTCTTTGGGTGAACTTAAAAACCAGACGGTTTAACCCTCAAGGAAAAAAATCAGTACCTAACCATTTCGAACCATTAATTAATATATTTAGTGGCCACAAAAAATGTCCAATCGCGTAGTGTTTTCTATTGGTTTTTACTGTTAACACACATCAGTTTTTGGCGTTTAAAATCGTGGAGATACAAACGGATGAAAAAGAACGAAGTCTGTGGGGGCCTTTAGGAAAAGGTATAATTCGACCCAGCAAGTAAAATCCGATAGAAAAAACTATTCGCAAAACTTCTAAAAGAAAATGTGGTAAAAGTCCGACTAAATATAGTAGTGAACAATGAATAATGATTAATTGGCTCAAATCTGAATGGTTTTGCGTTAAGTATTCTTTACTTAAAATTTAGGAAATTAACCTTTGAGAGAACACAAACATCACTCGTAACCATTATTTAAGAAAACAGTAAATTTGATAAGTTTTCTTAAATAATTGTTACGATTGTTGTTTGTGTTCTCTAAAAGGTCAATTTCCCTAAATATATATAAAGTAAAATCTACTTAACGTAAAATCATTCAGATTTGAGACAATTAATCATTTTTCATTGTTCACTATTAAAAAAGTAGTTTTTTCGACCAGTGTTTTATGGAAGAACAAAATTTCAGGCAAACTTTCGTATTCCACGAATATTTTTTCACCTAAACGTTTCTTCTCGCTCATTTTTACCTCGGTTGCAAAGTTATTTTTCTCAAACACACAATTAATTTAAACTTAAAAATGCATTAGTTAAACGTATAAAATTACAAAACCCTTACAAATTTAATGTTCCATTGGCACCCACTACGCACTTGTTATCGTTTTTAGATTGAATTTAAATTTGTACTGTTTGAGTGGATTATGATTGATACAGATGGTTTTGAAAATATTGTTGTTTTGTTATAGAATTCGTCACCATGATGACTTCAAAGTGAAGAAGCCAACAATTTGCATTTCTGCTTTCCATTGTTTCATCCCGGCCCATTATCTACATTTTCAACATCTCGAACTTTTTGCTAGGCTGCCGGGCCACTAAAGTGAATAACTTAATCGTTATTTAATTTACAAGACAAGTTTTAATTAATATAATTAATAAATATTTATAAATCAATATAATTGTGTAAATTTTTGTAATATATTTGTTTTGGGGCGGTGCGACACCACGCATCATCCTCTGTACTGTATCAACTACTTCTGTGCTACATGTCTAGTTGAGTCGTTATCTCGTTATTCACAAAGTATGAAAACAACGCGTACTTATTAAATAAACTCGTCGTTCTATTTGGTGTTAGTTTAGGGGATACAAATATTTAGGTGACACTTGACAGTCTCATTTTTCATACTTTGTGATCCAAACGTACATCTGTGCACTTACTATACATAGTATGTATCCCCTTAAAATATTATTTAAAAAAAGTTATTACTTGTACTAAAGTTTTAATTTCCATCATCCCAGTGTACTGTATCGTAGGTTTTACATTTTTTAGTCTAGTGTTTTCAAATTGATCAAAAGGTTTAATTTTTGATCAGCCTGATATTTTTCAATATTTTAATTTATTATTTTTTAAGTAAGAACAGATATCAGTTACAATGTGAAATTATAATTAGATGTTTAAATTTGAAATAAATGTGACTAAAAATCTGGATTTCGTTACTGATGGTACCCAAATAATAATGCTATATTATTAAAGTTTTTTATGTTCAAATTTTCTTTATTTAAAATAAAATTATTTAAACAAAATTTCCTTTTAATCTGTCTTAACTTAAACCATAACCAATCAGGTAAATATTGGAAATTAATTAATACAATTTGTTTTCTTTTTTGTTTCTTTTAAAGCCTGATTACCGATCGTTTTATTTTTATGTTGTTTTCAGTCTGTATAATGACTTGTGTTTTGCATGCTATTGAATCCTGACTCATTTCCCCAACCATGTCTTTATGTTTGACAATGCTTAAATAAATGTTAGATTTTTAATCAATACTATACAATAACAAAATGTTCTTTGAAGGTAAGTAGATAATTGTTAACTGAGGTAGTGTTGAGGCATTTCCATAGAATGTGTTCAAAATTCAATATATGATTTTTTGAAGCATAATGCCCATTCAAAACGAATTTTTTTACTGTACTGATTCCAAGAAAATAATTTTTAAAGTTACATTTGTTTTCATACGCCATTTTTTTATTTTGTGTCCAACGAGCTCGCTTGTGAGATTTCCATAAAAAATAAACTAAATAATTTTTTCTACTCCCACCTTTAAAACGCCCTTTATCTACGCCAGTGAGATAAGAACTTCTTATCCCACTCATTTTGAGTGAGGTAAGAAGTTCATTAACGCACGCGTTTTTCTCTGCTTTTAACCAATCAAATAAAAAAGTCAAAATGTCAAAATAACCCTAAATTAAGTCTTAGACAAAAATAATTACCGTTTATTTTTTCATTTAGAGGCGTAGATAAAAATTTGTACAATATACGTGTGATAACGCTTTATTAACGTACTTTTGCGATTGCCCAACTCGTGCTACGCACTCAATGGGCAAATTTCGCATGCGTACGTTAATAAAGCTCTTATCCCACTTATATCGTAAATAACTATTATTGTATATATTTTCATGACACTAAGTGACCTTTTAAATACAGATTGACAAGTTGTGGCTTTATGGCGCTTTAGTCACGGGCTGAAGTTAGCAACAGGTTTTTAGTCACGGGCTGAAGTTAGTTTTAAGTTAGTTGTCAAATGTCATATAATCGTTAAAATAAACTGCCTTTCTTGTAAAATAATACTAAATGTGAAAATTAATTTATTATCTCAATACGAAAATACAAAAGTATTAAATAGTTTCTCAACGCCAATATTTGAAAAGTTTATATAAACATTGTACTGACCTTTTAATTTCGCCGGCAGATAACTATAACTTAAATTCGGGCACGGACTCCACTGTAAAGTGCTCATAAAACATTTTCTTTACTTTCACTGTGAAAAACTGTCAATTTTTAAGAAATACATTTCGATTTATAACCTTTATAATATAAAAATTTGACATTTGACGGTGACACATAGATTCCCCTATTGTTTCATAGATGGCGCTCTATACAAATTTTTGATTTAAATTATTTTAAGATAATAATAAGTATTTGTCGTAGAAAAAGTACTTTTATACGTATATACGTTTAACATGCACTTTTCTATGTAGAAAAGTATATACACTCATTAATTAAATTCGTGTATAAAATGGCGTTTATCAAACTTGATACATAATATAATATTATCTACTCCCCTACATTAACGAGTTGTTAGTATGGCATTAGCCACGGGCTGAAATTAACAACAGTGGCTTTTGGGCATTTTAGTCACGGACTGAAGTTAGCTTTATAATACATTGCGAAAAAGTGAGGTTAAATTCGTCAAATGTAAAATTTTATGAAATAAAATATACTTTAAATTCTTATTTCTGTTCGTCGTGGATAAAGTATAGTATGCAACTCGTTTTATAAACTTCTCTAGACACTCGTTTTTATTAAACACTCGCTCGCAAGCTTCGCTCGTTCAACTCCTACATTGAAGAGATATGACTTAAGTCACATCTCTTCAACGCCAAAAATTTATGGCATTTTAGTCACGGGCTGAAGTTATCTATTATAAATAGCGAAAAATTCGTCAAATGTCAAATATTTATAAATTAAAATTTGCTTTAAATTCTTATTTCTGTACGTCGTAGATAAAGAGGATAACGCTTATCGAAAAGGAACCAATTATAACACTAGTTTACAAATTTTTAGTTCATCGCGTGAACCTAAAAAAAAAAGTTTTTTTATGCTAACTTTGGGCCTCTGACAAAAAAAAAATAACTTTTTTTTTTTCAAAGAAGCGTTATCTAGATCGAATCTGAAGACGTGTTTTATGGATCTTTTCTCAATTACTCGCAGAAATCTCGAGAAAGGCTCATCAAACTAACATTAATTGTATATCGTTCGAAAGGTATGTTATTCTTCTTTCCGACGATATACTGTTTGTACCAATCGGATTAAAATGTTTCCAGTTGCAAGTAATAAAAGTCGAAAAAATGTGTATTTTCTTACGTTTTTTAAAAATCACTTATATTTAGTTGTTTCAGGAAGTTAATAAAAAAATATTTTACATCCTTTTAAGATCGCAAGTAACAGATAATTCTATAACAAAAATATAAAGCGTAAGTTTCCTTAAATCGGACAAAAAATTTCAAAGTTATGGTATAATAAGTGAAAGCACACAATTTTAGATTTTTATATATTTATAAATATATATAAATATATATTATATATTTATATATATATATATTAGGGTGGTCCTTATTTTGGCTTTTTTCGAATTTTTTTTTCACGATAGTCCTAAATCCGTTCTAAATGTATAAAAAAAAATTCATGCCAAGTTACAGCTCTTAATTTTAATATTAACCTGGCCCCCCCGGCAGCCAAAGTTTTAAATGGAAATAACATGCAAAAAGTAGGTTTTGCTCTTTGTAATTTTTTATCTTGTTTACATATTAATTAACAATAATTTAAAATATATATTCTTATAGAAAATTTACCGCTCTACAAAAAATGTCTCTTATGATTTTTTGCTAAACCTACTAGTTCAAAAGATATTCCAGGTCAAAGTTCAATTTATAATTAATTTCACAGTTTTGCTCATTTTCACTAGGAAATAGCGCTTTAAAATGAAAAACATAGTATATTTTATAAACTGTATATTATTTGCTTTAATAAAACATCAAAATTTTCTAGAAATCATCAATTATTCAATGGTAGTATGATTTTAACATAGGTTTATTCATGAAATTTGACATAAGTTTAAAATAGTTTTCAAATTTCAGAGTATCATAAGCTATTTTAGAGACGAAAGCCCTTTAAAAAAAATTGACATGAAGAATTGGCACAAATATTATAGAAAATATTAGTATAAATATATTTTTTTATTTTAAATCAAAATTGATTTATACCATCTTCAAAATAATTATTACATTACATATTTGTTTTTTTCAACGAGTCTGGAAATCGTTCTCTATGATCTTTAACTAGTTGTAATACATATTGCAATTGTTTTTCATCTTTAGTATAATATCTAGAAAAATCTTGCACTAATTTAACTCCTCTTTCAGCACAATCATTTACAACTGACAGTGTCTTCACAAACTGTCGTCTCTAAAATAGCTTATGATACTCTGAAATTTGAAAACTATTTCAAACTTATGTCAAATTTCATGAATAAACCTATGTTAAAATCATACTACCATTGAATAATTGATGATTTCTAGAAAATTTTGATATTTTATTAAAGCAAATAATATACAGTTTATAAAATATACTATGTTTTTCATTTAAAAGCGCTATTTCCTAGTGAAAATGAGCAAAACTGTGAAATTAATTATAAATTGAACTTTGCCCTGGAATATCTTTCGAACTAGTAGGTTTAGCGAAAAATCATAAGAAACCCTTTTAGTAGAGCGGTAAATTTTCTATAAGAATATATATATTAAATTATTGTTAATTAATATGTAAACAAGATAAAAAATTACAAAGAGCAAAACCTACTTTTTACATGTTATTTCCATTTAAAACTTTGGCTGCCGGGGGGGCCAGGTTAATATTAAAATTAAGAGCTGTAACTTGGCAGGAATTTTTTTTTATACATTTGGAACGGATTTAGCACTATCGTGAAAAAAAATTCGAAAGAAGCCAAAATAAGGACCACCCTAATATATATATATATATATATATTTGGTGGAAAATGTTTTTTTACTTAAACTTCTTCGTTTTTGCTGAGTTAAATCTTTGCAAATTTGCATTCAGCAGTAGTCACCCATCATTCCTTGATCCCAAAGGCCCTCATACCGCTGTTCGATTATTGCGATGTCCTGGTGAAATCTCTCCTTGTTCGCTCTCAGCTCCCAAATTTGGAGGAAAAGAGTCCAAATGACTGTGAAGAAAGTGCATTTTTAATGACATGCGCGCACTTGTAATATATTTATATATATATATACTGTATATACAAACGTTTGTGTTAAAAATCGAATTGGTCTATCTTCACTTAACATACCATAACTTCGACATTTTTTGTCCGATTTAAGCAAATTAAGGCTTTATATGTTTTTAATAAAATTGTCTGTTAACTGCGATCCTAAAAATATGTTAAAAAAAATTGTTTGTATACTTAAGAAACAACTGAATATGAGTGATTTTTAAAAAAAGTTGAAAAAAGCACTTTTTATATACTTTTATCACCTGCAACCCAATAAGTTTGAATTTTATTGATACCAACAGTATATCGTCGAAAAGAAGAAGAGTATACCTATCGAACGAAATACAATTCATGTTAGTTTGATCAACCGCTCACGAGATTTCTATCAGTAACTAAAAGCAGAGCCAAAAAACACGTTTTTTGCTTGGATCTAGACAACGCTTCTTTGAAAAAAAAAATAAGTGATTTTTTCTTTTTCTGCGACCCAAAATTGCTCTAGAAAAAAGTGTTCTCATCTGGTACAATTTTTGTGTAAACTAGTGTAATTGGTATTTTAATCAGAAATATTAACTTGTAAAATCAGTAACGGTAGTAACTTACAAAATTATAAAATTACACAGTTTTTTGAAAAATAAAATGACCTACCAAAGTCTTAGCAGAAATGTAAAAAAACTTGAAATTTACTTTACCTAAATGTAAATTTAAGCTTAAATAACAAAGAGTGTAGTTTACTTTAAATAATC